TATAGAACGTCGTATACCAAGCATTGTACCAAAACGATCTCATACCCCTAAAGCTACTTATTTCTGTTGCATTCTTCATGTTAATACATGGTGCATTCTCTGTTTCAATTTCTTAGACTGAAAACCACAGAATCATCTTACTTTGTTTTGTCTTTCCACTCATCATTCAGTCTGCCGACAGATGTTATTAGTCTCATCACTTCTTACCATCTCCGTGGCTGCCTACTGGTAAGCCAGTCAATGCAGCCTGGTGGAACCTGTTAAAATTTAAGTTAGATCATGACTTTCTTTAAAATCTTAAACGATTTTGCGCAAAAGTCACCCACCTTCACACTAACTCTAGGGAATACTGACCTTCATAGTCTAATTCTTAGAAATGTGTGTGCCCTCAGCTGGGATAGCTGTGATAACTGGGAAAACTGTATCTAAGTGGTCATCCTCAGTTTTATGATGTGATGATGGTGTTACAAAAGGGCAAGCCCAAGGCACAAGTGCTTACCAAGTCTCTGTGTTGTGTGTGCTGAAGTCCAATTAGCTTGGCCAAGCCTAACATGAGTGTGTAAAGGGAATTCTTGAGAGTACAGACAGCTGCCAGGAAGGGAGTGATTCACTGGAGGTTACTAATAAAATGAGCCATAGGCTTTATGATGTTTATCAGATACATTTGTTAAATTGTTTGCTTATAATATAGTACCCATCTCTTTCAGTGGATATGAAAATAATCAAGAAAAAGGAGCTGTTTAGATAAAATTGTTGTTTGAAAGTATGGGCTGAATAATGGTTCTTTGTTTTAAAAAGTTAAATTTGACTTTTGTAGTCTTCCCCAACCCCTATACTAAGGATTGAACTCAGGGCCTTTACACTGAGCTACATCCCCAGCCTTTTTAAAAAAATTTAAATTTGTTTTTGCAGTGATGGGAGGTTGAGCCCAGGGCCTTCACACCAAGCTACACTCCCAGCTGTTTGTTTATTTGGAGACAAGATCTCATAAATTGCACAGGCTGGGCTGGAAATTGGAGTCCTTCTGCCTCAGCCTCATAGAGTACTGGGATTATTACAGACATGTGCCACTACACCAAAGACTGCCTGCATTTCCGTGATGATCTTTGATGTGGAACACCTTTTTATATATTTATTTGCTCTCTGTATATCTTCTTTGGTAAGGTGTTTGGTGCTTTGGCTCATTTTTACGTCAGATTTTTTTCATACTATTCAGTTGTCCCCCCCCCCTACCGGGAATCGAACTCACAACCTTGCGCTTTCCAGCCAGGTGCTGTGCCACTGAGCTACATCCCCAGCCCCCCATACTATTGAGTTTTGAGAGTGCTTTGAATATTTTTGATAATAGTCCTTTATCAAATGTGTCTCTTAAAACTACTTTTTCCCAGTCTTCTCATTCTTTTAACATCCTTGTACTTTACCTTATCATGTTGTCCTAGGGCAGTGGTGGCAAACCTATGGCACATGTGTTATTGTATTTTTCTTTAAGACAAAAGGTGTTAATGTAAAGTTGTTTTTTCTAAACTAAAACCTCTGCATTCAGGTTTGATTGTGGTGTTGGAACTTTGCAATAAATAAGCATGTTTTGGGTAGTAGTGTGGCACTCAGTCTTTAAAAGATGTGCCATCACTGTCCTATGGCAGAGTCACTTTTCATTTATTCTTAGTGTTTCCTGATAAGTCTAGTCTTTTATTACTTACGTGAGCCGTACTTTTGTGATGTTCCGGTTCATTTTTTTGCCCTTATTTGAAATTCTTTTAATCTTTTATTATCCATTATTTGCAAATACCTGAGTACTTTGTTATTGTCTTCCTTATCTGTTACCTTATCTTTTTTCTTTTCTCCCTCCCTTCTCCCCTCCCTTTCTTTCTTTCCTGGGAATTGAACCCAGGATGTTTGCACTGAGCCACAGCCCCAGCCTTTTAAGTAGTTTATATTTGTATTTTGTTTCAGGAAGGTACAGTGGTTATTACAAACACTATTTCCTTTCCTTTCCTTTCCTTTCCTTTTTCCTTTTTCCTTTTTCCTTTTTCCTTTTTCCTTTTCCTTTCCTTTTTCCTTTCCTTCTCTTCCCTTTCCTTTCCTTTCCTTTCCTTTCCTTTCCTTTCCTTTCCTTTGCTTTGCTTTGCTTTGCTTTGCTTTGCTTTCCTTTCCTTTCCTTTCCTTTCCTTTCCTTTCCTTTCCTTTCCTTTCCTTTCCTTTCCTTTCCTTTCC